TCTAACAAAGATAACATTTACACAGAATAATASAGACATCTGATCCTGTATGTTTCGAGAGATAAAAACCTTCATTCTTTTGACAATTTGTAAGAGAAAGTCTTCCATGGGGGTGAGGCCTAAATTTTTAATACAAGATCGCCCTCTACTGTTTAGAAAAAAAAAAAGGAAAACTAGTAAGGATCACAGAAACCAACTGGTTTGGGCTGCAGCAGACCTTAAATATCATCTCTTTCAAACTCCGTGCCATGGGTAGGGACACCTTCCACTATCCCAAGTTGCTCCAAGCCCCGACCAACSTGGCCTGGAACAGCTCCAGGGCTGGGGCAGCCACAGCTTCTCTGTGCACCCCACTGAACTGGTCCAAACTTCTCAGGGCCTCCCCACCCTCACAGGGAAGAATTTCCTCYCAATATCCCATCTAAACCTGYTCTCTTGTCAGTGGGAAGCCATTCCCCCTTGTCCTGTCACTCCAGGCTCTTGTAAAAAGTCCATCCCCATATTTCTTGCAAGTACTCTTCAGATACTGGAGTTRCCAATTATTACTTGTATTCTGGTAAGACTTACATAAGCAAGCTATAATCAAATCACACCATACTAAAATCAAAGTTACAAATATTTTCAGGGGTTTTTTTATCCCAACAGGCAATTTCAGTCTGAAATACAAAAGGAATCATACAGTAGAGAAAATCCTATTTTTAAAGAATTATTTTATTAAAACAGATTCTTCAAGGTCATGTATAGACTACCGTAGAACGAACAAGCCATGGCAACAGAACAAAAAGTATCATTACAGGGACTTTCTTTACCAGCATAGGTCTTATTTTTTGTGTATTTAACACACACAGAAAAAAAATATACAAACAGGAAAACTGTGATAAGAGAAGAGCAGACAAGAAACAACCATCCCCCATCACCTGCATAGTATGATACAATTCCTGACTCCAGATAGTACTACAGCTTCTTTTGTAGCTAGAAAAAGCTTCAAAATTTGATTCAAAATAAACAGGGATTTATTGAACACTGCAAGTCTTAGTATCCTGATACTTATCTAAGTCTCAATGTCAGCAGGCTGCACCCTGCCTAGAAATGTAGAAATGCATCTCCACTAAAAATTACCAGTGACCATTATAAACTGGTCAAAAAAATCTTTTCTTTACCTACAACACTGTTTATGATCACCAGCTTTAGGGCCAAAACTCAGTTCTGGTTTTAATTCAACAGACAGAGGATTTATAGGGCTGGACAGAGCTTCTATCCCTCTGTCTTGCAACTCCAACTCCATGGTGCTCTCCTGGCAAAACAATCCATAAATCCAGTGCATGTAACTGCCACCAGTGTATTTGGACTGCAATGGAAAGCAAGAAAAGCCCATGTGCACACGTGGAAAATAAAGTTTCCTCAAACAATTCGGAGTAGGAGGGTAATTGCTTGTTATTCTGAAATAACAAACCTTGCAAAGAATCTGCATTCAGCAAACATTTTGGGGCCAAGCAATCATTATTTACAACGTTTCCTATCAGTGTTTTTTTGCCACAGTTTTAAGAATAAAGCCCAGACAAAAACTCAGTTGCGTCCGAAGAACCAAGAATGAGGAAAATCTATAGAAACTCCCAAAATCATGGTAGCCATTCTAGAAGATTCTTTTGTGTCTCAAGCTACAACTGTTTCTCCAAACATTACACAATTTTATCTCACATAATAAGAATTTTCCATTCATATCCTCATCATYAGGAGCAACAATGTAGGGATTCCATCTTCTGCAAACATGCAATTGAAAGGGAAGGGGAGGAAAAAAAGAGAAGAATCTTGAAAATCTTGAAACTCTGTTCTACCTGTTATTTGTTTCCCCTCCATAAACAAGAACCTGGAAAAGTAAAATGATTCCYTGTGGGATGTTCTGATTACATCACTGGTGGAGTGCTCCCAAAGACACATGGGACACCACATGAATTAATTAAATGTCTCACTAAAACTTCCAGAAACTGAGATACAACATGAAAAGTGACACATATTTGGCATTACAGATGACTGTGTGGAGCAATCAGTTACCAATATTTTTCAAATTTTTTTGATGGGTTGGACATTTCAGATCTGGTTTTAGCTCCCTACACGTGGAGCTTGTTTGCTCAAGGTTTCTCTTTACCTAAGAGGATGTACCATCAAGCTCCTCCACTCCATGTTTCACACAACTCCCTTGGCTGTCTCTGCCACRCACATCCACGTTCATTCCAAGCTTTTACCTGATGTAAATCAATTATTTATTTTGTCCATGAAACCTGAGTGCAGAATGGCAGATAGAAGATGCTACATCTCTGCAGCACTCCACTGTCCCCAGGGATGAGGGCTCTTCTCATGACCCAGGGACAGCAAAACCAGGTTAGGCTTAGCTGCACTTGTCTGGCAGTTGGAATTTTAACACTTTACTGGTATGAAAAGTTATGAACTTGGGATCTAAAGCTCTTCACTTTGCAGATATGAAAGCCAGGCRTACCCAGAGGAACACCTGACATCGGTTCCTGGTTCCAGCCCACCTAAAAGCCCAACTAAGATTCTTATCAAATCCTACATTTCACAAATTAGCTGTTCCAAATTACATATTTCAGCCTATGCTTGTGACTATTTTGCACAGGCCTCCAATCTATGAACTGACAAAGACTTCCAGAACTTAAAGCCTTGATGTTGATACTTTCCTTTTWATATGTCAAAAGGACACTTTCTGGCAGAAAACCAACTCCTGYTAATTTTTCCTATAAAATGCACTACAAACAAGTTTTAGCACATCCCAATTTGATGTATTGGCTAACAGCTCAGTTTAAGAAATAAATAGAAYACCCTGACAGGTAATCTTCTAAAAAAATAACATTTTTCATTTAATTCTGCAAGATGCCAAGGGCACTAAGAAAATTCACAGGACTTCCTCAAGCTTGGATTTGGGGTGTTTTTTTCCAGCCTTTTGTCTAGATTGACTTCAAATTTCACACTTAGTATCCCCATTAATTTTTGCCAAGCCATGATCACCATTTCAGATTCCGTGCAATGTCATTCTGATTTCCACCACATGAAGGCACCCAAATTCCTGAGAATTCCTTTGATCTTTTCAAAGAACAACCAGTAGCATTACCACMGTTGACAAGCTTTTTAAATTTATTTATCAGCCTCATGTAGCTGCTTCCRTAAAGATGCAATCCCCAGAGTTCAAGCCTGCAATAACTTTCTCCTGAATAGGCAAAAATCAATCACAGGGGAAAAAAATACAGCAARTTTCACATTTTTATCAGAGTACAAGTGTTACACATAATATCTTACAGGACCACAGCTAAAAACAAAAACAAACACCATACCTGTTCCTTTTTTTCTGTAGTTGAGTTATTAAAATCACGTTTGCAGCTATAGTGACTGCCTGTCCTCACATTGYCTTGATCTTTAGGATGTATTTCTTCCCATAGTTCATCATAGTCTGCAACATCTGGATCGTTTTAATTCCCCATTATACTCAGTAATGTAATTTTTGTACCTCTGCTATTATATTCTGCATTTTAATAAACTGGTCTTCTCCTTGATCCTCTCATCATCTGTTTCTTCATTCCCTCAACCCATCCTAAATCCTGCCATTCCAAGCAATTTGCTCCTACAATCCTTCTCAGGCAGGTTTCAATAAAACTTCCAGCTGTGCAACCAAAGTTACTAATGTAGGACTAAAATTTAAAATCTCCACACCTGGAGATTTTGCACTGGTCCTGCTGGGAATTCCACCAAACTCAAACCATTTGTGCCCAGCCATTCCTTTGACTCGGAACATTTTTGGAAGTCTCCATGGCATTATCCTCTAGATTGATGCCAAAACTCRCTGTTTCTGCCTGGCTCCTCCACAACGTAACTCTATGTGTGTCTAAACACAGGATGTAGAAATACCTTAATATAACTCCAAAAAACAAAATCCCACACTGTTAATTTATGTATTTCTTCCTCTTAATTAACAGCGAGAGTTACTCACAAAATAAACCAGAAATTCTGCAAAAAGAGATCTACTGAATGCCCTAAGCACGGGCAACAGCTCAGCTCTTGAAAAGGGGGAGCCAAAAATATTTTTTCCTTCCTGCAGCCATCCTTCATGCTGGTTAAATTCTGATAAAAACTCCATGTAAAAACCTTAAAAACCTATTCTTATAGCACAATTGAAAATAGTACCAAGACAAGGATATTTGACTTTATGTTCATGGTTTAAAAGAGCAGTAATTGCTCATTTTCTGCTGTTAGAAAGTCCTATGTTCTCTGTTCCCAGAATTGACCACCCCAAAYCTTTGCAAGGCACCCACTCAAGCGCATCCCTAATCTTGCATGTGCTGTGAGTGAAGGCTCACATCCATCTCCATGTTTCATCATGTAATCATGGAATGTTCTGGTTTGAAAAGACACTTAAAGCTCCTCTCATTCCACCCCATGCCATCAGCAGGCACGTTCCTCTAAACCAGGTTGCTCCAAGGCAATCTTGGAATACTTCCAGGGATGGGGCAGCCACAGCTTCTGTGAGCAACCTGCGCCAGGGCCTCACTACCCTCACAAGGACATTTTCTGGTCAATATCCTCTCTAACCCTGCCCTCTATCCTTGCGAATCCATTCACCTGTCACTCCAAGCCCTTGTAAGAACCAGCGTGGCCATCAGGAATAGACAGTTGTGAACACACCCCCAAGAGGGACTTAAAAGGGAATTAGGGGMGGGGGATCCGCCCGCKCCCCTCACGGAGCCCTCACGGAGCCCTCACGAAGCCCCGCCCCCGGCGCGCGAGACCGCCCCTTCCCGCCTCGCCTCCTCAGCCAATCAGCGCGGAGATGAGCGCGGCCGCACTGTTTGCGCCTTGCAGCCCGCCCCCTTCGCTGCTAACCAATCAGAACGCTTGTCTGATGAAGCCGAGGGTACGGCCTGTTTGGCTCTCCACGCACCGGCTGAGCCGCGGTTTCCCATTGGGCGATMGGCTGGTGGGCGGGGCCRATTCGAACGGGCGGCGGCGGGGAGCGGCGCCATGGTGAAACCGCTGAGGGATGGGGAACGGGATCGCTATCCCGATCCTGATCCCGATCCCGATACTGCCCAGGGTCCCGGTCCCGCGGGGAGCCCCCCGCTCTTCTCGCAGCCCGCCGCGGCGCCAGCCGACGGCTTCGCCTCCTCAGACGATGAGGCCGCCGAGGAAGAGCCGAGCCCGCTGCACATCTCCTGGTGAGGCGACACCCGCGGCGTCCRTTCCCTCAGGAAATTGTGTCAAATCTCTCTCCTAAGAAACGGTAGGGTTTTTTCTTCGCGGAGGAAACCCGAGCCCGGCTCTGGTGACCTTCCAGGGTGCCCCTGCCCGTGGAAGGATATTTGAACAAGATGATCCTTAASGTCCCCTCCAATCCAAACCATCCTGTGATTTTTGTCATCCTCAAAGGAATATTTTTCCTCATATTCACTTTCTGTGTTTCMGTTTGTGCCTTTTGCTCCTTATCTTCTCACCAGACACTCATGAAAGGGTCTGGCCCCACCCTCTTGACCCCTCCTCTAAAGATATTTATATATTTAAATAATTGAAATCTTCTCTTCTGATTTTTATTTATTTTACTTTTTATTTTCTGATAGGTTGTCCTTGTCTCCTCTATACTCTTCTGAGTTCTTGGGATTATGTTCCCTACCAGGTAAGAAGCATTCACTGAAATTTGCAGATATATTTGAAAGCTGAAGAGGGGCAATACCTTGTTCCCCAAAATTCTGTGTTGTGAGTGACTCCTTTTGTAATCCACCACTGGAATAAGTGTTTTGRAAACACCAAAACTAATCTTAATGCAAGATCGCATTTGTTAACACTTAGAAATAAACACATAAGCTTTGACTGCATTTTTAACTACCAAAACTGCAGCCATGGGTGAATTTCCACTCAACTCTTAACTGATCTTTATCCAGCTTTGTTATTTGTTGGACAATTTTTTTGCATTTTGTGGGAAGGTCTTATATGTATCTTGATTTAAAATATCCAAAACTTTTAATYTGGAAAATGCAAAGCATCTTAAAACCTTGGGTAGATTTCTTTTTTTAATCCTATTACATTACAGTATTAAGCAGATAACGGTGTTTAAACTGTCTTCTGCATCAGGGATCTATTTGCAAAAACAAGAACTGTGTTTTGTTCGGGGTGTGGCTTTGTTGCTTTGGTTTTGGGGGGAGGCTGCCTGTGCTCTGTTCCTCAGCTGCAGCAGCCATCCCATAAATGTCACYTACCTGCAGTGATAATTATTGTTCATAACTTGTTTCAGGTTGCAGGTTTAAGGATATCAGAAGGAATCTTCAGAAAGATATAGGTGAGTCTTCTTTGTGTCAAGGGCAAGAACAATGTGCAGCTGCAGCAAATCTCTTAGAATCATCATCATGACCACTTTTAAGTGTGCAGTGCCATTTCCTCTGTAGCTTGTCTATAAATATGRAATAAATAGTCAGGATATTTCCAGGCTGGAGCTGCACAGTACCCATGAGGCATCTTCAGAGCAGCTGGGATCAAGATGAATTACAAACTTGTGATCTTTATTTTTCCCAGAGAAAAGTGAAATTTGGATAGAAAAGATGCAATTATGTAAAGATTTGTGCTGAGTGATCAGCTGTAAGCACTAAAGAGCAGAGACTAATAGCAAATCCCCACAGTGTTTGGATAAGTCAAGCTTAGGAAGAAATTCCTTGCTGTGAGGTGGGGGAGGCACAGGGTGCCCAGAGAAGCTGTGGCTGCCCCTGGATCCCTGGAAGTGTCCAAGGCCAGGTTGGATGGGGCTTGGAGCACCCTAGGATAGTGGGAGGTGTCCCTGCCCATGGCAGGGGTGGAAGGAGATGTCTTTAAGATCCCTTCCAACATCCCTTCCACGCTGGGATTCTGTGATTTCAACTGGAGATGGACAGAAATATACTGTAGTAGTTAACAGGCTGTCCTGAGTGCTGGTGTGCTCTCCAGTGAGGCTGCTCTCARGATTCCCTGTGAACTGGGAAAATTCCCCTCCTGGATTACCTGAAGGGAAATGTGGGAGAGACTCAATGGAAAGAAACAGTGCTCRAACCAAAATTGYTCACTCCTTTTGTYTTRGCCCCAAAGATTAAACAAGAGACTCAAGGCCAAGGTTCTTATCCTTAAGCTTGATAGGCTTTTGTTTATTTGCAAGTGTCTTAATCTGTTGGCAGGAGAACTAAAGAACTGTGGGATCCAGGATATCTTTGTGCTTTGTACCAGAGGAGAGCTCTCAAAATACCGAGTACCAAACCTGATTGACACCTACCACCAGCATGGGATRTGTGTGCACCACTATCCCATTCCTGATGGGAATGCTCCTGACATTGCCACCTGCTGCAAAATCCTCGAAGAGCTCAGAAACTGCCTGGAAAATAACAGGAAAACAATGATACAGTAAGTTCTGGCTGCCTCCCTGTCACCACACATTCCTGTAAAGGRTGCCAGCTTCTCTCCAGGTGTATGAGCAGGGGAAACAGGATGGGGTAAAATGACAGTTGCATTCTTTAGGGTTAGTTTATGCTGTGAAAAGCTGCTTGTTCCTCCTGCACCTTTTTAGGGAGAACTCATCCTTTGAAAGACTAGAATGTCCCATTTTCCCTTGCTCTGTCCAGCAAGAGTTTTGAAGTATGTTTTAAGTGGCAGCACAGGGCTCCTTTGTTCCCAGCCTACCTGGATATCAGATGTACAAAAAGACTGTGAGCCTATTGCCAGGCTGTGGCTGCCCCATCCCTGGAAGTGTTCCAGRCCAGGCTGGATGGGGCTTGGARCARCTTGGGATAGTGGAAGGTGTCCCTGCCCAGGGCAGGGGGGTTGGAATGAGRTGATCCTAAATTCCCTTCCAACCTATTCCACTCTGTGACTCTATTACACACCCCTGGACTGTTACTGAGAACTCAGTGGGTTCCARCAATSCAAAATTCCCTCTTAAATTCCATTAACTGGTTTGAAGTATTTAGCTGAGCTCAGAATAGAGGGGAAGAGCTTTCCAAATTCCATGTTYCCTGAATGATCCCACTGACAACTTCCTGTGCAGACATCCACTGAGTCCTTGGTCTTCCTGCTGACACAGAACCCTGCTGCTCTCCTCACAACTGWCCTCAAGCCCCTAATCTGGAGTAGGATTTAAAGGGTTAAAATTGACATTACCCATCCTCATGCTGTTTACTGTGCTTCTGTGCCTTTGAGATTATTACCAGGAATGAAGGGCTACTTTCAAATTGAAGTTTCCACAGAAAGACACAGGAGGTCTGAAGAAAAAAATAGGAGGTATTTACACCTCTTCYACCTGTAGGTGTAGAAATAGAATATARAAAATASAGAGAAATTTTTRTTCTGGCTTTGTTGTAGCACTGTTYCTCTTGATTATATTAAAGCAAGAACTGTGCTCATATATTTAAAGGTTGGGGGGTCCCCGGATTTTGTAGTTTACTACAGCTTGTTATAACCAGATGTTTTCTTCTCTCCCAGCTGTTATGGTGGTCTTGGACGCACATGTCTTGGTAAGCACTTTTCTCCATSCCTGGCTACCCCATCCCACAAACCCATGGAGCCAAATTCTGCTGGAAGCTTCACTGTAGATGCAATGCAAACTGCCACTACAAGGAGCAGCCTGGTTAATAGAAAGGGGATGAACCTGCTCCTCTGCATCTTTCCTCGTCCCAATGTTCCCTTCTTAAAGCTTTCAGGAGCATTAATTACTGTGTGTGCCAAGAAAAAAAGGGTGGTGATACTACCAGAAGACACAAAGGGCAATTAACTGGGTGTAGTGTCACTTATTCCTGAAAAGCCTAGGAATTGCATCCCAGATACTGCTGGGAAAGCAGGGGGGAAACAGTGGGAGGGTTTTCACTTATTTCCCAAGCCTGTAGGCTTGGGCAGCAGGCAGATGGGTCAGAAATAGAATTCTGCAAGAGATCCCACAAATCTGTGACCTGGATAGTTTTGCCAGGGTGGTTTTCATGGGACAAACCCGTTGCTCTGCACAGTCAGAGATGCTCAGCAGCATCCATATGTAAATACTTTCCCTTACAGTGGCTGCCTGTCTCCTGCTCCAGCTTTCGGACACCCTGGCACCTCAGCAAGCAATAGAGAGCCTCAGGAAGCTGAGAGGAGCTGGGGCCATACAGACCATCAAGGTAATGGGGCTGCAGGAGGTAATACACAGGTCAAAACACAAGGGAGAGCTTGGCCAGTCTCCTCCTTCACTTCCCAGAGAGATYCTTCTCTTTCCAACAGCTGCTCTCTGGGGTTTGAGCTGTTTCCTGCTTTCAGGAACAGCTCCTCCCAGGGAAATGGTGACAGGACAAGAGGAAAARGCCTCAGGTTGTGCCAGAAAAKGTTTAAGTTGGAYAATAGGGAAAATTTCTTCACTGAAAGGGTTGTCCAGCCCTGGCACAGCTGCTCAGGGCAGCGGTGGAGTCCACATCCCTGGAGGGATTTAAAAGCCATATAGTCACACTTGGGAGGATGGGGTAGTAGTGGCCTTGGAGTGTTGGGGGAATGGTTGGACTCAAAGATCTTAGAGAGATTTTCCAAACTAAATGACTCCATGATGCAAAATAAAGCAGCTTTGTATTCTGACAACTCCCATCTCAGGACCATGTTTTGCATTACCTTGGGCTCACCTGTGGCCTTTATGGGGAAATGCAGGATCTAAGTCAAGATCCATATAATCTGTGTCTGACAGTGAAAAATCCCAGAGGATGTGGACTAAGCAAGAACAAATGGACTAGAGGGTGTAGTTTTATCCTGGGGTATCAAACAGCTTTTTAAGATGGGTGGTACCTCTTGTGAGACTACAAAGCACTCATTGCAGACCCGGCTGTGGTTTTCCAGCAGTACAATTTCCTCCATGACTTCCGGGAGAAGCTGGCTGCACACCTGGCAACACAGGACCCGGTGCTGAGATCAGCATCGCGGTAGCTGATCCTGCCTGGGCTTCTCTGGTCTGTGGAACACCCCTGGACAAGACACCTCTCTCCTGACCTTCATTTCCTCAGTTCTACTGCCTATGTGACACATCTGCTCTCTTCCAAATCTGTGTGTAAAGTATTGGGATGGGGATGAAAATCCTAGAGGACATGTGGCATCTTCCTYTCTTTGGTGAAATTAATACTCACTGCCTGAAAAATACATGTACAAGTGTGTTTGTGTCCATTGTTCTGGTGGCCTGCACGCCTGATGGGCTGGTTTTCCATGTAATAACATAGAGAGTCCTGCTGGGATAATGGAGCTGGGTAAAAATTACATCTCTGGAGCTGTTTAAAAACACCCTCACACCCTCAGCTCTGCTGTAAATGAAAGTCAAGTCAAGCTGGAGCACTCACCCCTTACAAGCTCGTAACAACTCATTCTAAAATGTCGCAGTTCTGCTCAATGTGTTGAGGGGTATTTAGGAAGGAGWGTCTCATTCCAAAAGCAGGAGGTGTTGTACAAATCTGTGACAAAGCCAGCGGGAGGGTTTGTAGGTGACTCTGACAGGAAGACACTGCTGCAGCTGCGTGGGCGAGCTGGCACAGCCCTTCTGCCGGCTGCCACCGCAGCGAGTAAACAAACAATCAGCTGTGGGCTGGGAGGATCTCACAGGAACAGTCCTCTAACAGTCCCCAGCCCTCCCGTTTCACTGTATCCATTCGTAAAAGGAAGATGAAACAGCTCCTGGTTTTTGAGAAAGTTCAGAATTTTGATAAAAGTTCAGGACCTCAAGTCAAAAGCTGGGATGTGAGACCACGCAGTAGCAGAAGGGTTGAGTACAAGTCCCTGCTTTSTGAACTTCGGAATTTACCTTTTAACATATCTGAACCCAGACACTTGAGCACAAGGTCATTTCTGCAGATTAATGAGTGTTTACTGCCATTCCCTTCCCTGCCCTTTGGCAGACAACAGGGACATTTCCAGTTTCCACAGCACAGAATCATTTACAGCAAATACCCTGCTCCTAATGTGCTTCAGTACTTAATCCTTGCAACTAATGGTTTTCAGATATCAAATATTTATCACATGACTCAGCAAGGACTTGTTGATGGGGAGAGAAATGTTTTTTTTATTTTCTCCATTATCTTTTGCCTCCTGGAACTCCACAAACAATGATCAGGTCCACATTTTGAAGCCAAAGGACTCCAGCAAGGCATCACACAGGGGCTAATCCAACACTACTGGGACAAAGGGCTGATGTTGCTGGACTTGGATGGTGTTATCCACACCAGCTGGGAATACTCATTGCACCCCACATTCAGTTCAAGCTGACCAGCAGCAGGACTCTGGAAAATATTCCTGGGCAAAACCCCTGCAGCTGGAGGGGGTTGCAGGAGCTGTCAGTTGGGCTCAGTCAGGTCTGCATTGTTTATTCCASTGTGGAATTTGGCTCAAACCAGCCCAAATGCCATGGGAATGAGAGATTTGTTTAGAAAGCTGAGGARAACCAGGGGCTACAAGCAGCCAGTCTCATTTCCCTGATGGATCCATAAATATACAAACATAAGAAAGGGTTAATGAGCTTTGCTTCCACAGGCTGAAGTCATCTCATACATCTCTAGAGGAGCCAAGCAGCAGGAAAATAAAAATTATTCAATAGGAACAATATTCATGAATTTCCAAAAAAGCCTTTAAAAATCCTTTCTTCATGATTGTATGAGGAAAAAAAGCCAGTCATGGAATGCTGAAAACTTGAGCAGTAAGGGCATGGGAAATGTTCAATGAAWGCAAGGAAATGTGAGAAAAAAAAAGTACTGAGTATTTTATTAAATACAAAGCAATAAGCTATCAGGACTATTCCTTAGGAAAGAGAATCTGAAGTTATCACAACCTSAATTCTTTTACCCCCAGTATACTAAAAAAACTGGAAACTGCCAATCTACATCCCCTAGGAACCCAAATTTTGTGTGATAATAGCYGAGAAAAGGGAAACATGGAGGAGAAAGTGCAGTCCCAAAGCTATGGAAGAATTTGGAATCAGAGATTAGACTTACTCTCTTTCACAGATGACCTGAGGAAGGTCTGTTCATTCACACCCAGCAAAATAAGGTGGAAAGGGGGACATTGTCACCATGTCCCAAAAATTATAAGTCTCAGGTCACCAAGTGAAGTTTGGCAGAACTGTTAAGTATCTATTACACACAGTAATTCCATTGCCCAACTCACTGTCTCAAGATTGCCCAGAGAAGCTGTGGCTGCCCCATCCCTGGAAGTTTTCCAGGCCAGGATGGACAGGGCCTGGAGCAGCCCGAGATGGTTGGAGTTGTTCCCTGCACATGGCAGGGGGCGGGCAGAATGAATGACCTTTAATGTCCCAAACCATTCCAGGATTCTGTGATCTTCCATACCAGGCTATGAAAGTGCTCAAAAAGCAACTGAATTGACAGCAGAAAAGCCAGAGCTTTTTTAAATGCCAAATTTCTCACTCTTCAGGAAGATACTCAACACCCTGCCCTGTTTCAGATTCCTTTCCTCAGCCACTACCCAACACACCAGCACTGGAATATGTGGATTTCTGGTGGAACCCAGTGTGGCCATTCRTGCAACTTCCATGGCCTCTAACACCCAAGAAACCCAAAGTGAACAAATACACAGTTTATGCAAAAAAAAAAAAAAAGTTTTACTAGAATGGGGAAAGTCTGCATTGTTCTCCAGCACAGGTAAATGAAAAAGATTCCTAATTATTACTCGTAAATTAAGCAGTTGTTCACAGTCACAATTTACAATGCAATATTTATCTGAAACATCTTCCTCTGCCCCATCTGTTATTTAACTTCATGAAAAAAGCAGCCACTCAAAAGCATACCTTTTCCAGAGGCAACTCAATTCCATGTTGTAYTTTTAAAGGGAATGCAATTATCCACTGTAAAACAACTAATGAAAATAGCAAGGATCAGTTGAATTTTAAAACAWAACAAAAGGCACCAGGTAAAAAGAAGTGTTGCTGAATTTGAGATTTGTTTTTTATTATCATTTATTGCACTAAGGAACAGCGGGGCAGTTTCACAATCTCACTTTCTGCTTTGAAAAAGTCTGCAGTATTTACTACTCTTAAACCCAAGAGTGTTTTCATCATTGGACTTGATAAACATTGGAAGTTTGTCCTTTTTTGAATCAGACAGCACAGACATTATAAAAAAAAGTCATTTAAATGCATTCCTTCATGGACAATTCAGCTTCTCCTACCACAATGACACAGACTCAAGATTAAAGCAGGGCTAATGTTTGGAGAAGATACAGARGGCTCTGGACCATGCACAAACAGGGAAAGATTAACCAGATAGAAAAAAATATAAACCAAAAAGGAACTATTTTTGCAATTGTGTCCATGAATTAATATCCTAAGACCAACGTCACCTACAGGCAAAACACACAGCATTCCAGTCCTTTCCAAGCACTTGGAGCTACAGYTGATTTAAAGAGTGGGATACACAAGTCCAAGTGAGCCACTACAAAGCCCATCCTACAGCGAATCCCTAGTGTACTAAGGCTAGTAGTAACCAACACCTACTCAAAGGTTATGGCTGTTCCTTATGGAGTGCAAAGTCAAAACTTTTCAAACCCCAGTCATCTTTATATTAATTTACACATCATTCATTAATTTCAGTGTCCCAGTAAAATATAAGAAAACAGTCTTTCCACAAGTATAAAATGTGGAAATATTTTCAAAACAGGGGAGTCATTGTTTTCTAACTGAATTGCGAACATCGGGTTCCAGATTTAATCGTGGTCAGAGGTTCTTGTTGTAAAGAATCCATGTTTGTTGTGGCTTTTGCATGCACTTAACTGGAACAAAGCTTGCTGAATGTCTTCTTAAGAGCTCACCAGAACGTAAATCATGCTGCAAAAGAAAATAAAAATATTAAGATCCATAACTTTTATCTGTTACACATTTAGTTATGAAAGTGAATATTATGAGGAGCAAGTCCACACAAGATATGTGGATTGTRACTGAAGATTTGACACAATGACTCTTCTACTTTTGACTTCAGCAAAAACCATATTTACATCAAATACTTTCCTCTGAAAACAACATTTCAGCGTCTTAATACCCTGGGGGTTTATTGCATTGTGTTTAACAGAAGAAGAAAAGTTTGGAGGCTTTCAGTTCACAGTCATGGAACAGAGATTCCAAATAGTAATTCTGACCAAATTAGGATTTTGTTTTTTAAAGCAGAATCAGTGGTGAATATGGATTCTTTTCCAGGAAAGTTGGCGCTGTAGCTGATCAATCACACAGATTCCCAACATGTTTTAGGTTGGAAGGACCTTATAGATCATCTCAYTCCAACCCCTGCAATGGGCTGGGAGACCTTTGGCTAGGCCAAGGTGCTTCTAAGTCCATGCAACCTGGCTTTGAACACTCCCAGAAATGGAGCAGCCACTGCTTCTCTGGGCACCCTGTGCCAGGGCCTCCCCACCCTCACACCAAGGATTTCTTCCCATCTAACCCTGCCCTCTGGCACTGGGAAGTCATTCCCATGTGTCCTATCACGACACRCCCTTGTCCAAAGTCCCTCTCCAGCTCTCACAGGCTCCTTTCCKGCACTGGAAGGAACATATTCCTATGGACAGTGTTTTCTCCATTGCACTGAGCCAAAACTTCAGACTGAAGAGGAAAACTTACCCATATAGGTAGTAAAAAAAAGATAGAAGGTAGAATGCTAATTTGCACCATCCTTCTTTCTGGCAATAGGCTAAAATATCTGCATTCATGATGGTCGTAGGATCGTAGAGCCCCGGGCCGCTCATCACAGGTCTGCTCATGTACCTGGAACAAGGCACAGGCAGGWGTGGGGTGACAGCCAAGGGAAATGTGGATTCTGCCCCCACCCACCAAGGAATACCAGAACTGAGACAAGGAACAGCACCCTTTGCAGAGAAGTGATTCCCATGTCTTGTAGTGGAGAATGGAATCACCACTTATACTGGGATTACACACTGGGAATTGTCTCAGCGCACCTCTGAGACATCAGCWACTTTAATGCACACAACACAACTCAATTCTTGTACAGCACAAGAGAATAAAAAATAAAAACACCYGAGAAAGCCAAGTGATGCTTCTTATTGTACAGCCATGACCTAAACTTGCCCAGAAAGCATCTTTGTTTTCCCAAGACACAGAACACTGGACAGAAACACGGCAACAGGAGAATGAGGAACAATTCACTGAGCACAACAGACTTGCCAAAATTACCTCCAAATATGATAAGCCAACAAGGGCATATTGAGACCCAGTGTGAGCCACTCTGCTGCACAGAGAAACATGACACAGAAGAATGCATGGATGAGGTACTCTGGAAGTACAAGCTGGAAAAGAAAAAGACGAGTTAGAAGTTTCCATTACACAAAGAAAAACATGTGGTGTTTCAGCTATTTTAGAGGTGAGTGATTGCTTAAAAATATTATTTAAAACCAACATTAAAAGAGCAAGAATGTGGACTGTGAAAGCAGCAGCCAGCACTATGTGCCTTGCTGTTTTCACATGATATTCAWGAACCAAGTAGAAAAATGTATAAGATTAAATGCTCAGATCAGTACTTTTTATTGCTTCTATTAAATTAACAGATTCCACACTTTATATGTGACCCTCMCAAAGGATCACTGAGATATTTCTGCTCATGCAACAGAGAAATATCAGTAGGAAACATGCTCTGCAGAATGGTTTATAGGCAAAAAGATGTTTGTGTTTTCCTGTTTTATAGCTTTGTTTTGGTCTTCACAGATCCAGAACTCATCAAAGTCGAATTATTCCCAAAATGTCACACCCCAGGCAGAGCTTTACCCAACCAAACCAGCAGTGACGTGGTCACACACACAGGTCTGCACAGAGGAGCTGCTCCACACGGACAGTTTCAGGGCAATTAGGCAGTTTTCCCTCACAGGTTCCCACTGTGCATGCTTTACAGCATCATGCTTCCAGCAGAAGCCCACAGAGCTCAGTATCAGGGTACCATGGAATCACAGGAAGCATGGAATGCTGCATATATTAGTGTTGTTAATAGGAACAACATGAGAGGTACAGAGAGTAAACACATGCAAAGAGCTGCAAAAATCTCACACCCAACAAGAGTTAAGTTTCTACAAGTCATCCAAAGTGTTGCTAGGTACTGGTTTATCACCAGCTTCAGAAGGAATCATACAATCAGACYGGTTTGGGTTGGGAGGGACCTTGAAGCCCATCCAGTTCTACACCTTCCAGTAACCCAGGGTGCTCCAAGCCCTGTCCAACCTGGCCTTGGACAATTCCAGGGATCCAGGAGCAGCCACAGCTTCTCTGGGCACCCTGTGCCAGGGCCTCCCCACCCTCACACAAAGGAATTCCTTCCCAATATCCCATCTAACCCTGCCCTCTGGCAGTTTGAAGCCATTCCCTGTGTCCTGTCCCTCCATCCCTTGTCCCCAGACCCTCTCCAGCTTTCCTGGAGCCCCTTCAGGCCCTGGAGAGGGCTCTGAGCTCTCCCAGGAGCCTTCTCTTCTCCAGCTAAACACCCCCAGCTCACYCAGAGCTCTGCTCCTGAGCAGAAGCAGCAGATCTGTAAAGTTTCTGCCTTTTCAATTCAGGCCAGAAAAACCTCTCATAGAAAGTACCCCATTTCTACCCAAAGGTTTAAATTGTCTGTGTGTGTGTGCATGTACACACACAACATTCTCTGCCCCTCTCTTTGTGCAATATGATTAACATTGCATAAAATGATTGCATCAGTCTCAATGGTTTCTATATTTTTTTTCTTCTTTTAAAGCCCCAAAATATCTTCCTAGAAAATCTTAAAGCTACCAACAGACATGCTCACCACCTACTTTGCTACAYTCTGCTCCTCTAAATGTAGAATATCAAACAAAGCAAATCTGCAGCAACACCACCAAAATTCAGCAGTTGTACACAAAATGTTTTAAGTAAATATTTCCATCCAGATCCTTCTTTGCATACTTACCATTTACACATGGCACTTATTTAACAGCAGAACAACCACCCTGTCCAACACACAATGCATTTGGCAGCCTGYTCAGACAGATTCACCAGGCCTGAAAAATCTGTATTTATTTACTTACACATCTCAAAACACATTTTTCTTTTTTCTTGTTTAATATACCCTACTCCCACACTGGAATACCTGCCTCTTTCCAATCTCCCACACTTGATCCTCCCTGCCTGTCCTAAAGAAAATGAATTACATCAGATCCTACCATATTTATCACAGAAATGAGGGAGGATGGATCTGGTTGCTGAGAAAAGACATGACTATAACAGGAGCAGAGAAGAGAAGGA